TTTACTGCGATACAGCGCTATGCCACGGTCAAATTGTCGACAGGGTTAATAAATGATTGATTAGATTGTAATCAATACCAAAGTTTACGGCCAAGTCGACACTGTTTCGATTACTCGTTTGGAGATAAGATACGTGAACTAGGTCTGTCAGGGCCAGCCTGAACTGAGAGAGATAATGGCATGTAACATCTAAGCAAACAAACGAAAATACTCTATATTATTATTTTTTTTATAAAAGGTTATCAGATTACACCTGCTCATCACTGTTATCATTTTAAAAGTGCAGTATAATATTATGCAGGTTTTACAAGGTGACAGAAGGGCCAGAAAACTGAATGTTGTTACCAAGAAAACTACATAATAATTTGCTTTAAAGATACCCAATGTTAAGGACGTTATTATCAGAATAATATTCTTAAAGATATTGACTTGGGGTGTTAGCAAAGAATTTGTTTTTCTTGGTAAAACTGTCCCCGTGGTGTTATGCACCCCGCATAATTTAGCAAAATTTGATCATTCTTGTGTGTGCATAATTTCTGATTATTTTTCTTTATCATTCTTTGTTAAAATTAACAGAATCACATATGTTCACATTTTTGGGCTCAGTTTGTATAATTTCAGAAATTTTCTTGCTTAAAACGACGGGGACAGGTAAAAACATTCCGTTCTTAAATTGCTTTTTTGTCTTGTTTTTGGATGTTGTTGTTGTTTTTTTTAATTTTGTTGTTGTTTGTTTGTTTTTTTGTTTTTGTTCTCTCGTAAAATTGTGAAAACTGTGTGCATTGTTAAAGTGCCAGCTGAGCACAGGAATCGAACTCATGTACTCATGTCTTCAGCAAGCAATGACGTAGAACCTAACCAGTTCACCGCACACACACACACACACACACACACACACACACACACACACACACACACACACACACATACACACCGGTGAGGGAACAGGGCAGGACTGAGCACCCTGTGCTTTGTGTAACACTGGCAGAAATAGACGCAACAGACCACAACGAAACCCCCACGCTCAGGGTAAAGTAAACAAGTTTGTTTGAGTTTGAGGAGAGAGAAGCCGAATCACTTCGCGACACGATGGCAGAGGTCATGTGGTGCGGAGATAACGCGAGGTCAGACTGACAATGGCAGAAACATCCGAGGGTAGGAAAGGAAAGAGGGATCTACCCCCAAAACACTTGCAAGAGACGAGAGAGAGAGAGAGAGAGAGAGAGAGAGAGAGAGAGAGAGAGAGAGAGAGAGAGAGAGAGAGACG